CCCCAAAACCCCAAAACCCCAAAACCCCAAAACCCCAAAACCCCAAATATCTAAACCTCAATTGAGTTCATAAATTTAATTGATTAGAAATGGCCACTGCGAGAAAAGGAGGCATGGATTTGCTCTCTGAGTTAACCAGCAATATCAAAAGGGATAGGGCTGGAGGTAGTAAAGCAACTGCTCAGAAAATCACCAAGATTTTTGCAGATGTGATCGCATCAGACATGTGGCTTAACGCCACAGAGCTAATGAAGCTTATCAAGCAAATGGGAGCCAAGCTGATCGCAGCAGATCCAATGGCTTTTTACATTGGAAACATTGTGAAAAGAATAGCCCATATTATAAGAATGCAGTCAAACAACTGCAACGTCCCTCTATATGAAGAGAAACCGAAAGAGAATGAAGAGGTAACACCCTTTGCTCATGTTTAGAACTTAGATAATCCATTGATGGAGATGGATTCCCTAAATTTCCTCATCGGTGAGGAAAACAAATTGGATGAGATTCCTCTAGTCAAGACTGCTTCAAGTATGAACGATACTAGAGCCAAAGATCCAGCTTATAGAGACTTTAAGAGTAATTTAGAAGAAAGTCTTTTGGAGATACAGACTGATATTGAGGAAGCTTATGGAGCAATTTCATTCCACTGTAGAGAACAATTTCAAGACAATGATACAGTACTCACAATCGGGTACTCTTCCACTGTTTTAGAACTGTTTAAAGATGCAAAGGAGAAGAGTGATTTTACTGTGGTTGTGGCTGAAAATTCACCTGAAAACTCAGGAAAAACTATGCAGAAGAGATTGAGTAGTTTAGGAATTAAAACAATTCTATTGGCTGATACTTCAATTTTCTCTTACATGTCAAAGATCAACAAAGTTATTATCTCTACAAGAGCTATTATGGCTGATGGTGGATTAATCACTGATGCAGGAGTCGAACTAGCAGTATTAGCTGCTGATTATCACACAGTCCCTGTAATTGTGGTCAGTGCTCTCTACAAGCTAACTCCTCTGTACCCATTCGACAATACGACTTACAATAAAATAGTCAGTCCCAAAACTGTCCTGAATTCAAAGGAGTGTAAATTTGGAGAGAAAGTTGACGTGATAGTAAGCTAGTCCATGTTAAAATCTTCTAGGTAGCTAAATACGACTACATTGAGCCGGAATATATATCACTGTACATCACTAATGTAGGATGTCACACCCCTCATTACATTTACAGAGAGTTTGCTGAGTATTATTCCAAAGAGGAATTACATAAGGTTTAAATCATTTCAATATGGAAGTGTTTGTTTGGGGTTTTGGGGTTTTGGGGTTTTGGGGTTTTGGGGAGAT